TAAACCTCTATGCGTGAAAGTCAGACTGCAAAACCACCAGCCCGAAACGGTTTTGACCCAAGGAGAAACGTGGCTAGGATTGTGTAATTTATTTGATTGATTTCACATCTTCTTCACCCGAAATAAGGGAGGATGCCTTGTCAACTATGTCAACCTGAACGCCGTATTAAGGCCAAACGGCTGCAGTACAGCGGGAATCAGCCGTCGTCTTCGCGTGAGATCGACCTACGAATCTCTTCATCATGCACATTCATACGAAATGAAAGTCTGTATAATGATATTATTTCATGGGATTCTTCGAAACCCGCATTTTCCTCGCATGGATAACGACTCAACGAAAAGAGTTATATTCACTTTATTTCGTTTAACAAAATGAAATTGAGGCGGTATTCGAATTGTGTCACAATCTTTCCAGAAGACTTCACTTTACAGTTGAACTTCAGATGACCTGTTGGGAATCAAGGAGATGTGAAAACTCGCCTACTAACCCTGCATCATGTTGACCAAAATGAGGGTGAATACAACTTTTTTACAAGGTCCAGTACCGGGCTCGAGACCCACTCGCAACAAACATCGACAAGGACTCACCGAGCCGGTCAGCCGAGCCGGAGGCTGCTTTGCCTCGGGGCGGCTGGCGGCCGGTCGAGCCGATTTCGGTACAGGCCGCCCCCGTCCGACTTGCAGCCTGCGTTTGGTCTTGTCGTCCCGCGCGCCCGAAGTGGACGGTGGTGCTGACCGCCTGGCGTCCCACAGACACGACGAGCCGACTCGGCCTCTCACGCTCCCGGTTGCGCCGACCGGCCGCGTAGACCCTCTGGTCTGACCGGTCTTCTTCGCTTCGCCACTTCGTCCCAGCGACTGCGGTCTCGGCCGTCGGGAGCCCGCACAGCTCGACTCTTCTTCGCCTGAGCCCGCGGCTGCCCGGGCCGTCGGTCTCTTGGTAGCCGTGCTAGTCGGGTTGGTCAGGTTGACTGGCTCCTCCGTGAGGATGCGATTCATCTCGGCCGTGACGCGGTGGATACGCTGCCGCAACACGCTGTTCTCGAGGGCGAGTCGAGCCAGCATGCCGGCCACCAACTCATCGGCCGTCGCGTCGCCAGACGGCGCCTCGTTGCGTCTGCCGGCCGAGGGTTGGACGGCCGCTTGGCGACTGCCGAGGCTGGCGAGCGAGCCAGGCGAACCAAGTGACTTGGTCGTGAAGGCGACAGGCGGCGGCGGCGGTGGCGACGACGACGAGACGACCTCTCGGCTCGGCGTCGTCGCCTCCGACAGGCCCTGTTGGCGGGACTCGAGCTCGGGCGCCAGCGAGGACCAGTCGGTCTGGTCGGCCTCGTCTGGCGCCAGCCGGTCGTCGAGGCGGGAGGACGAGAAGCGCAGCAACGACTGCAGCAGCGGCGAGTCGGCCAGTCCCGGGGAGCCGGACGTGACGGAGCCAGGCGAGGGTCGCGGCTCTGCGGGGCTGGCGACGAGCGGACGAGCCGACAGAGTCGGTGTCCGAGACGCCGAGGCAGGCACCGACGTGGGGAGTGACCGCGCGGAGTGGGCCGGTTGAGTGGGCCGGG